GGTTAAACGCTCTTCCATTTACCTGAATCCCAACTTCTCTTTGCAGGGAGACAGACTCACACTGCTCCATCTCCACGCAGGTTTTGCATGGAGGCAGTTGTTCAGCTGTAAATTTGAACCTTTTTGGGCCATAGTAAAGTAGGTAAGAAGGTAATACAGACAAAGCTTTTGTTACAGCAATGGCTTTAGACACAATCAGAATCCTTTTAAATAATCGGATTAATAGGAAATGACTTCATCTGCAGGCTTGCCAGCAAGGTCTTCATCAATCCTAGCACAAGCTCCTAACCATGTTGCTGACTAGTCACTGGATCACACTGTTTTGCCAGCAGAGAAAGAATTTGAATGCTGCTTCAAGGAACAAAGGCATTTATAGAAATCCAATTACAGGATTATGAGAAGAAAATAGTTTAGCAGCTGGAAAAAAATGTGGGAGGAAATAGTAGCTGAGCTGGTAATAAGTCACAGATGTTCAGCCAAATGGAAAGGAATCTATGTACAGTAGGGCCTCATGGCTCTAAAGAGGGATGGTGGTCCTCTAACAGTGTGCTCAAGGGAAAGTGTTTCTGGTTCCAGAATTGACAGTCTAAACCAGTTTGTCAGGCTCAGTTTTGTTTGTCACACACAGTTCTTCTCTAAACCATCAGGGAGATTAACCTTCAAGGGCCAAAATCACGTTGCAACTGCTATTTACCGTAAGACAATGGCCAAGGGCCCACATGAAGGCCTTTTATAGGAAAGATGTCCACCAGTGGCAAGATGATATAAAGCTGCTTTTTATTCAAGTGCCACTGACATCCAGTAACTTTCAAGCAACTTCTCATAGAATTTCTTCACAATGACTTCTAATTACCTCCCACGTTCCACCTCAGCCAAATTTTGTGTGGCATTGCACCTGACTTCACCACAAATATGACTCCACTCCCACATATGGCCCACTTACCTATTGTCCTTCTGCACCATAATTTTATCTCCATCTTCAATCAGGTTCTTCTGCTCTGTCACACCATAGCTTTCCCTGCAGATCTACACAAAACCAGAAAACTAATTTTACCAGAGGTGCTTTTCAGGCCTGCAGAAAGATACAGGACTCTTTTTCACAGATGACTGGCACGTGAAGGGTGGGTCAGAGAGAACCATACAATCACAGAACGGTTTGGGTTGGAAGGGACCTTAAAGGTGATCAAGTTTCCACCTCTCAGCATGGTTAGGGACACCTCCCACTAAGCAGGTTGGTCCAAGCCCCCTCCAATCTGGCCCTGAACACTTGAAAACATCATATGCAGAACATTTTTTCTCTGCTCCAAACACCTTTCATGCTTCACCACCTTCCATCATGACGTTTGCTAGAGGACTTGCTATTAAGTCTAAATGCAAACTCAGAAAAGGAAAACAAAAAAGTTTTTCTTTAGGTAAGTTTCTGGTGAAAAAAAACAAGAGACTGATAACTTAAAGAAACTGTATTTAACTAAGCCCACATGTTCTGGCAATAGAATGGACTCCCTTTGTTATAACAGAAGCTCAGTAGGCTAATTCATCTGCTCTTACTGCAAGATGGCCTGACCACAGGCAGCTTCCTGAGGTTCCCTGGCCTGAGATGGCACGAGTACAAACTGTACATACAAAACTGATAATGTAGACAAAATGTAGAAGGGTCAATTTTCAGCTGCCATGCCCCAGAGGCTCAGGTTTTAACATGCAAGATGAGTTAGTAATTCCAAGGTTTAGGATATCAGTTAATTAATTTCTAAGTTTCAGCAGATGTATCTGTATGTCTTTATGTAATATGTGGTATCTAGTGCAAGAAAGAGAGAGTAAGAATGTAATTCTGTGTGAGAAGAGAATTTGGAGAAAAATCTCTTGTGTTACTACAAATGTATTCTTTTCTACACAATCTGAATTACCATCATTATGGCTCCGTTACCTCATCCTGAATTGCAGCTCTGACCTGCATGAGAGACACTCAGACTAAGGTCTGATTCACTCCAAAGATAAGTTTGATGTAAGGGACTTTATGTGCTCCCATTTATGAAACAAGGAAATGGGCAACACTCTCCTAGTTCAGCAAGGATTTTCTTCACAGTGTGTAGCAGAGGTTCCTGGTATTTTGTTTTCATCCCAGCCAGACCCTGGACAGAGAGTTAGGAACCCAGATCAGGCCCAAGATGAACTCGTCACTTGTAACCTGTTGCAGCATCAGGACTTTAAAGCAGACATTGAAACTTGGAAGCCCTATAATACCCCACCCGAGTCAACTACGGATCTTTTTGTGAGGTTCTACATGTTTGCACATGATGAGGGAAGTGCCTAATATTCCAATGTACACCAAGATCAAACTCTTACTTTCAGGGAATCTCCACCATGTAATAGGAACTATTGCATCTAGGTTACCAGCTAGAAAAAAGATTCTTTTACTGCAGTAGTAGCACAGGAAAGCTGACTGCTTCAGTATGTCTTCTAGTAACAAGCTCCAGCATTTTGTTTCTTAGAAAGTCTGAAAGAGTACACTCACTATAATTTTTTTTTTGCTAAAAAGCATTAATATTATGACAGCAAGGAAGATTCTAAATTGTGTTAGCATTTCAAGAATGGACCTAGTGATGTTAAAGCCTATCTTCCATTTTTAAGGAGGATTCAGGAATCTAATTTTCACTGTCTGGTGTGAGAAGTTGGCTACTGGAATGCAAGTCATGTGCCATGGTGACAACAGGGCTATTTTACAGAATTACAGATTATTTTGAGCTGGAAGAGACCTTAAAGATCATCGAGTTCCAACTGCCCTGCATTGGCAGGGACACCTTCCACTACAACAGGCTGCTCAGAGCTTCATCCAGCCTGCCCTTGAACACCTCCAGGGATGGAGCCCACACATCCCTGAGCAGCCTGTTCCAGAGTCCCATCACCCTTACACTGAAGAATTTCAGCCTGATCTCTAACCTGTATCTCTATTCTTTCAGCTTAAAACCATTACCCCTTGTCCTCTCACTGCAAGCCCCTGTAAAAAGACCCTCCCCAGCTTTCCTGTAGGCCCCCTTCAGGTACAGGAAGGCCACTATGAGGTCCCCCCGGAGCCTTCTCCTTTTCAGACTGAACAACCCCAACTCCCTCAGCCTGTCCTTCAGAGAGGTGCTCCAGCCCTCGGATCATTTTCATGGCCCTTCTCTGGACACTTTCCAACAGGTTCCAATCTTTTTTGTGCTGGGAGCACCAGAGCTATTCCAGGTGAGGTCTCACCAGGGCAGAGTAGAGGGGCAGAATCACCTCTCTTGATCTGCTGGCCACACTTCTTTTGATACAGCCCAGGATGGAGTTGGCCTTCTGGGCTGCAACTGCACATTGGTGGCTCATATCCAGCTTTTGATTCACTAGTATCCCTGTGGAACAGGGATGCTCTCAAGTGTGACCTCCCCCAGCCTGTATTCATATCCTGGGTTACCTCAGCCCAGCTGCAGGACCCTGCACTTGGCCTTGTAGAACCTCATGAGGTTCACCTAGGCCCACTTCTCCAGCTCGTTCAGGTCCCTCTGGATGTCATCCTGTCTGCTTAATCTACCACTCTGCATAATCTACTTACTAGCTCCATTTTTATGACCACTTAAAAAACAAGAATGGAGTTGACAGCAAAGACTTTTAACGTTTTAACATTAACATGGGGTGTGTGCTATGGGCATATTTTGGAATAAATAATAATATTATTAGATAAGTTGATGGGCTTCAACTGTACCATAGCAATCATATAGCTGGTATGTTAAATGTGTCTTACTGTAAAATTCAAGCAGAATGTCTCTTCTACATCTTCCCCAGGGTAATCTAAAAGTTGCTGAAGACTCCTATATGACAAGTAGGAAAAGAAATGAGGGGAAAAATAATCAGAGATTCAAAAAGCCACACATCTAAAGTGGAAAAGAAATTCAGCAAAAGGAAACAGCATCATACATCTGGGTAATAGGATTGAAAGAGAGAATCTCTTAAGTCACCTGAAGGGGTAATAAAAAAATACACCTCAAATAAAGAAATGCTTTGTTAGAAGCAGGGTAAATGTCAGCCCACAGGAATCATTTTACAGAATAGCTTTTACCCGGTTTGGCATTTTGTGTTCTCAGATGGATGGTCTTCCTTCACAGAAAGGCTGCAAATTTTGTTTTTCATACCTTCCTTCCGTAGGGGATAGCTCCTTCAAATCCTCAAGGCAGGGCTTCACATTCAAGAGTTTTTTGTACAGAGCCAAGGGAAAGTGGAGGTCTACTACTGTGAAGTTGTATATAGCAAGACCACATATGATGCCAATCAAGTGAAACCAGTTGTGTTCTACAAAACACTGCAAAACCACACAGAGAAATCCTGATTAGACACACTGTCAGGGGTGCAATGCACACACTTTTCCCCAGGCACTAAGAAGCCAGTCCCTGCTTTTCTAACTGGGACAAAAATCACAGAGCTCCCATCAGGTCCCTATTTGACTGCGAATTCCTTGCTGGAGTGTGGCACAGAAATGAAGGTTCAGCAATCAAGCCCTATTACTTTCCTAAGCCATGATTAGCTAGGAAAACAACAACAGCTGCTTTCCACCTTATCTCTCTTTTATTACCTTTCTCTGCATTTAGACATTAACAAAGCTTTGATGCTTGCTGTCTATGTGCTGGAAGAAAATGTGTTAACAATTCCCTCCCTGTCACCCATCCTATTTTCTATTAAAAGCTTATGCATAACCACAGTGCCACCCAGGCAAACGTACCAGGGTAGACGTTGGTATACTGGCCTTCATTCCTTTGCATATTTACCCTCATACTGGTATGTCACACTGGCTGCCTATACTTGTTAAATGTTGTAAATACGTGACTCTTATTTTCAGCGCTTACACTGTCGTTATTCTTAGCATCAAAAGACTTCTGGCTTGTATTGCATTAACATGAGGAATAATCTCTCTGCGATATTGTTTAGAAGTTACAAGAGGTGCCATGTGACTCCCTTCCTTGTAAAATTTAATTAATAAATTAAAAGAAACCCTACCAGGGCACCTACACCTTAAGGGTAGACTGATAATATCAGTTTCCATCTTTCCAGCTAGGGAGATCAAGAAAAAAAAGGACATAAACCACTTCTGGCATAATGCTACCTGACAGGTACAGACCTTGCACTCCACACCCTTCCAAAACCAATTTTCACCACAAACTGTGCTTCTTGCTGTTTAACAGCCTCCTCTCATAAAGCATTAACAAGTTGAGACCCTGAAGGTGACAGTGCTGCATGGCTCAGTGGGATTGGAGCATAGGAGGTTCAAGGTGAATATCCGAAAAAAATTTTTTACTGTGAGAGTGACAGAGCCCTGGAACAGGCTGCCCAGGGAGGTTGTGGAGTCTCCTTCACTGGAGACATTCAAAACCCACCTGGATGCGTTCCTGTGTGATGTACTCTAGGTGACCCTGCTCTGGTAGGGGGGGTTGGACTAGATGATCTTTTGAGGTCCCTTCCAGCCCCTAAGATTCTATGATTATCTATGATTGGTTGCAATTATGTGAACAGCAAGGGAAGCACAGAATTCTAGTGCCAGTATGAGCTAAATCTCTGGTTCTGAAAAACAGCACATGATTATCACATTCATGATAAGAGTTCTGTTAACGTTTATCTGATACTTAATACAAGTTGTATTATGGGATAAGAATAAAGAGCCAACTCTTTAATGGGCACAATCATCACCATTCTACTAAAGTTAATGGACCTACACTAATTCCCACTGGATGAAAATAGAACTCACATTGATTGTATCGTGGGTGGAAAATGAGAGTAAGATAATTTTTTTCCCATAGTTTTCCTTTAACTTTGTTGCCATTTAAATGCAGCATATTATTTCAATCTGTGTGTATAAAGGGCAAGGGCTTACCGTGTCTGAAAACCACAGCAGGTTTGACTCTGGATAGTAAGTGAACATGCCATAGATGGGGTTGAGGAGCTCTTTTAACAACAGGAGGAAAAATTCTTTTGTCACTCCTCCAGCGTCAACAGCTTCCTCACCATCAAAGATGACCTGTAGAAAAAGGAGTTCAATAATGGGATGCAGAGCTGAGACTGAGTGAATCAGACATCTTTCTAATTGGAAGTCACACAGTGTAATTTGTCTAACATGTCCAAACCCACTGCAACCCCTGAGCCTGTTTCAGTACCCTGCTTACCGGGAGGGAAAGGGAACAGGGGGTGGCAAATGAGATATTTTGAAAATATGCAAATACCTGCCCTCCCAACAACAAAAAGAGCAACATGACAGCAGTGGCTGAACTTTGTAGCAACGGCTCAGAAATAAAACATGTCCTATTGTAAGTGGCTTGTTCCTGCAGAAGGGCAAAACGAAGCTGCATGGTATGAGAATGTTTTCTACTCCACCCCTTATAACACTAGACACATCATGAAAAGAGAGTAAACCCCCAGCTTGCCTTCTTGTAAACTGTCCACAGCCAAAACACTCCCAGAGTCAGAGAGGCAACTCAGCCCTTGCACTGATTGATCAAGTGTCCCTGTGTGCTCTATCTATGGAGAAGCCACTGTACACTGGTGAAGTGGTAACATACACTGAAAGGCTGAAAGGCTGCAGAAATATCAGCTGGGTGAGAGGGTGCTAAAGGT